AGGTCAGATTCCTGGGTGGATCCACCAGGGCTACACGTTGGGATCAACAACAACACCCTCTCCTCTGTTGTTCATACCAGTTGGGATCCTATCGGCAACAGTGGGAAGCCGGCTCATGCTCGGATAGCTTACAATGCTACCACCAAGAACCTCAGTGTGTTTTGGACATATGAAGAAAACCCTGATAATACTAATCTCAGCAATTCTTCACTTTATTACCTTATTGACTTAAGAAAGGTTCTTCCCGAGTTGGTTACAATTGGATTTTCAGCTTCTACTGGATTAGGCCTCGAGCGCCATGCCATAACTTCATGGGAGTTCAGTTCAAATTGGGATTCAAATGAGATCACAGGTAGCAGAAACAAGGAAACAAAAAAGAACAAGACATTTTTTATTGCAGCGGTTGCAGTTTCTGGTTTCATTTTGATACTTTGTGTGGCCATATATTCTTGGTTGGTGGTAAAGAAGCGTAGTGATGGGCATGGAAATTACTCCAGTGATGTTGCCAGCTCTACAATTAATACAGATCTTGAGATACTAGCCCTGCCAAGGAGATTTTCTTACAATGAATTAGTTGCAGCCACCAATGGCTTTGCTAAAGATAGAAGGCTAGGCCATGGAGGTTCAGGACAAGTTTATAAAGGAATTATACAAGATCCAGGCTGCACAGTTGCCGTTAAGAGAATCGTTGCAGAATCTGAGCACTATGAGAAAATCTTCATCAATGAAGTTAAAATAATAAGCCGCTTGATACACAGGAACCTGGTGCAATTCATTGGATGGTGTCATGAGCAAGGCGAATGCTTACTTGTTTATGCATACATGCCTAACAGCAGCCTTGACACACATCTATTTGGCCCTAAAACAACCTTGCAATGGGATTTCAGGTACAAGATAGCTTTAGATTTGGCTTCAGCCCTTCATTACCTACACGAAGATGCAGAGCAGTGTGTCCTTCATAGGGATATCAAATCAGCTAATATACTGTTGGACAACGATTTCAAGACTAAGCTTGGTGATTTTGGGATTGCTAAGCTCGTAGATCCGCGGTTCAGGACTCAGACAACAGGAGTGGTAGGAACTTTTGGTTACATGGCACCGGAATATGCAAATAGAGGGAGGGCTAGTAAAGAGTCAGACATGTATAGTTTTGGAGTTGTGGCCTTGGAACTTGCATGTGGAAGGAGGACTTATCAGGATGAAGAATATCACGTGCCACTTTTCAGGTGGGTTTGGCAGTTGTACCTTGCCGGAAATCTGCTCTCTGCAGCTGATGAGAGATTGGATATGAATTATGTTCCAAACGAAATGGAATGCTTGTTAATTGTGGGATTGTGGTGTACTCATCCCAACAACAAGAAAAGACCAAAAGCAGGGCAGGTGATGAGGGTTCTTCAGCTTGAAGCACCGTTGCCTGAACTACCACAAGACATGCATGATTATACTCTGCCTCAACCTCAAAGACAAGTTGATTCCTCTCAGCTACCATTAACTTCTAGCTTCGAAACTGCGGGTGGTTAATGTAGTACAGCAACAGCCACCAAACACTTTCAAGGGCAAATAGATGAAGTTGATCTTCATTTCAGTGTTGATTCTTCTTATTAGGGGTAACTTTGATATAAATGTAAATATGTGTGTGCTTAAGGGTGTTATCTGGATTTGATGGACATCAATTTAATTCCACTTGTAACATTTTTCTTTACTTAAATGTTGTGTATCTTTCTTAATTGATTGCTTGACCTGCCAAATGATATGCATGATCACTACATTCCCCATGCTACCCCGACCGACAAAAACTGATTAGTTCAAACAATTTGTGATGATGAAGCAATTTGTGATTAGTTCCAACGTTTTCCGGTATCAACCTTACTACTAAGCAACTTAGGCTTGGCCTTGTTCAAATGTTTATGAAATCTTTAATGGTTTTGTTGGTGGCCTATCTACATCAACTCTGTTTTCTAGGGAGACCAATTCAAGGTTCTCATAAGTAATGACAATGAGGAAGTTGAGCTTATGCATGATAGAATTTGGTTGTGACAATCAAGTTATTTTATTTTATTTTATAAAGTTTTGATTGACCAATCATGGCTTTATTAAAAAGAAATAGGACCTTTCATAGAATAAGAACTTGATCATTTCAATTTGCATCACTCCAGCACCTTGCTGCTAAAAGTCAATGTAGAAATTTGGTAGGGTTTGAACTTTGAACAGAATTTTCCTTATTCAAAATTGGTCATACTATGAATTAAGTTACTTTATAAACCACAGTGTGATTGCGGTTCGCTTTTGTCAACAGATTCGGTAGCCCATTTCCTCAGAACTCACTTTCTCTCTCCTAGAGTTTTGAGCTGATAGTCTGTATCGAGGCTCGACTCTGACTGACTTGTGCTTCACGGTTTTGTTTCTCTAAAAAATGGGCTTAAATTCAAACTCTATGCAGGCCCAAAGAGAATGGGCCCGATTCAATTGTGGTAGCAAAAGCCTAAATAGTTTCAGTACTGTTTTACCCAACAAATAAAAAATAAAAAAAATCTTTCTTCTGGATATTTGCTCAAGTGATTTGCATTTGGAAAATTGAAATGATCAAGTTCTTATTTAATTCACTTTACAGGATAATAATCTAGTAGGAAGATGCTTGGCTAATCTCAAAGGTAAATCTTATTTTTGATATAGTAATTTAATGAAATGAAGTTGAATTTGAAAATCAAGATGTGCTCAAATTTGTTTGTATATTCTACTTCTATTACTGAAAATTCTTCAAACATGTAGTTGAGTAGGTGTTTGATTACCCAGAATGAAATAAACAAAAACACGGGGCTGTATGGACAATTGCCTTTATGGAAATTAGTGACCTTATTTTCGTCACATTTGTTAGCGACGCATAAAACCGTCGCGAATGCCTATTTTATTTTTGTCACTAAAGGACTAAAACTGTCAACAATCGCTGGGAAAGATATAAAGCCGTCATTTAAAATAAGACTCTGCTGATCAAGGGGTTTCTGCTTCTGTTTTACAGTAGAGATTTATTTGGCTTCCCCTAAAATGCCACAGACAATTCAGTCAACGAAAAAGGGATTTGTTCACCATTATTGGCCAATATAATATCTACAATCAAAATGGAGCAAGTTTCTTCTATATAGTTTTGTTTTGAGCAAGGTTCTATATAGTAAAACTTTTCCTTTTCCGACAATACAATATATAAAGCATTACACTCAGAACTCATACACTTTTAGCTCGTGTTATACACTTTGGTTTTACATATTTTTTCTCCCTAGCTTCTAATACTTCAAAGTATCAAGTTTTACATGTGAAGTGAAATGTAAAACTAGCTGAGAAGTTGCTATCATCAAGATTTTACCAAGTAGTTAAATCAAACAAGAACATTCCTACATTACCTTCATCCAAACATATTTTTTTGTCTTTTGCTGTATCTCATTAGATGTTGATGAAAATGAAGAAAAATACGAAAACAACAATGTCAAACTGAAACTCACACACAGATAAACAGAGGAACTAAGGTTATAGTTATCTGGAATTCTTGAGAGTCTAAAACCGATGCTGTAAGGCCGTACTTTGAACAAAGGAAGAAAAAACAGAAAGAAAAAAGACGAAAATATCTTTTTCTTTTCAGGCCGTAGTCTGAATTGTTGATGGATGTAGCTTGGTGGCTTGCAGAGCTTGTTTAACGACCCGTAGTTTTGAAGCTTGAAGTTGAAGATAACTGAGAAGCCGAATCAGAAACTTCTTGCTGAGGTTGAGGCAGTGGATCATCATGCATGTCTTGTGCAAGTTGAGGCAATGGTGCTTCAAACTGAAGAACCTTCATCACTTGCCCTGCTTTTGGCCTTTCCTTGTTGTCAGGGTGAGTGCACCATAATCCCACAATTAACAAGACTTCCATTTCATTTTGATCAAAATTCGTTTCCAATCTCTCGTCAGCTACATCTAGTAGATTTCCTGCAAGGTAATGTTGCCAAACCCCCCTAAAAAGTGAGATATATGATACTCTCCATCCTGGTAAGTCCTCCTTCTGCAAGCAATTTCCAAGGCCACAACACCGAAACTAAACATGTCCGATTCTTTGCTGGCCCTCCCTTGAAAAGCATATTTAGGAGCAATGTAGCCAAATGTACCTGCCACCCCAGTTGTGTGATGAGTCTTGGATCGGGACTGGGTATCCACAAGCTTGGCAATTCCAAAATCACCAAGCTTAGTCTTGAAATCGTTGCCCAACAATACGTTAGCTGACTTGATATCTCTATGCAGGACACACTGCTCTGCATTTTCATGTAGGTACATATTTTTCATGTTTAATACACTTGGTTTTTAACAAATAGTATAGCCGGTCGGCTTTACTCGGAATTTTTTTAATAAAAAAGAGTATAGCCGGCCGGCATTACTGGGGTCTTTTTTTAAAAAAAATTTATAACTAGTCTAGCCACGCGGCTATCCTCTTTACATAGATACTGTGAACTTTTTTTCAAAAATTGTTTTTCCTCGATTTTGTTTATTGATAGTTTAGAGCATTATCTATTACTATTAGGCCATTACCCGAGTCTCTATTGTCCCATTTTGAGTTTATACTTTTCCAGAGTTATTACCCGTATAAATAATTTAGCATTTTACTTTTAATACTCGTATTGTACACATATGTATGTATTTTTCATGTTTAATACACTTGGTTTTTTACAAATTGTACACATATGTATGTATTTTTCATGTTTAATACACTTGGTTTTTTACAAAATTTTCAATAATACACATAAAATTCACGTATCATACACATAATTTTCACATATTATATAATAAAAATATTTAAATCTATAAAATATATATATCGAAAGTAGCAAATTAATATCTATAAAGTATAATCTAATGCAAATAGAAGGGTCCTTTCTTTATAAATTTTTTAAGTGGCTATACTCCTTTTAAATATAATATACTTAAAGAGTTTAGCAGCCAAGCTATATTATAGTTTTTTATTATTAAAAAATAGTATAGCCGTGCGGCTATATTTTTTTGACAAGTGCCGCTAAATCGCTAGTATGGCGTTGGGCGCTAGGCGAGGGTCCTTTTTTTTTTTTTTATAAAACAAATACTATAGCCGCCCGGCTATACTCGGGATTTTTTTAAATAAAAAAGAGTATAGCCGCGTGGCTTTACGGGGGTCCTTTCTTTAAATTTTTTTAATAAATAGTCCAGCCGCGCGGCTATACACTTTTTGCATAGATATTGTGTTTTTTTTTAAAAAAAAAATTTCCCCAATTTTTGTTTATTGATAGTTTAGAGTATTATCCATTACTATTAGACCATTACACAAGTCTCTGTTGTCCCCTTTTGAGTTTGTTTTTTAGAGTTACTATTCGTATAAATAATTTAGCATTTTCACTTTTAATACTCAATTTTGTACACATACGTATGTATTTTTCATGTTTAATACACTTAATTTTTTACAAAATTTTCAATAATACACACAAAATTCACGTATTATATACATAATTTTCGCATAGTATATAATAAAAATAATATATATTAAAAAATTTAAATCTATAAATTATATGTATCGAAACTAGCAAATTAATATCTATAAAGTATAAACTAATGCAAATAGAAGTGTCCTTTATATATATATATATATATATATATATATATATATATATATATAACAAATAGTATAG